TTCCAGTTTTGGAGAGAAATATAAGATTTCTAAATACTCCTTAGTGATCATCTGGATTTCGTTTGAATCTGTTGTAAGCCTTTCTGTTGTCTCTTATTTTATTAATTTGATAGGATTCTTTTTCTTTAGGTCAGTTTGCATGCTGTTGTCCATCTATTTAATGAATGGAAAACTATTTGGAATAATTTTATGTATTGTTATTTTAACTAGCATATCATTCATTTCTATATTTATAACCTTTTACCATTGACTGCCACTGTGTTTGCTTTGATCATTTCCTTAGGCATTAAGGCTCATCATTGGGTGCTTATTTGAGATCTCTCCACATTTGGTCATTTTCTTGGAGTCTTTCTGGTTTTAATGTAGGCATTCAAAGCCAAAAACTTACCTCTCACCATCACATGGCTATCTCAAAACATGCAGGGAAGCTGTGATGTTATTTTCATTATATTCTAGGAATTGTTTTTCTCCCTGACATCTTCAATAAATCAATGGTAATCCAAGAGGCTACTGGGCAGTCTTCTGTTAATTATTTAGTCTCTATAATTTCTCTATGCACTGGTATCTAGTTTCATTTAGATTCTCTTATTCTTTTTAAGACTTCCATTGTAACTTAAAATGAAGTCTATTTTTAGAAGTCTTATAGCATGCTAGGAATGATGTATAATATATATGTATATATGATAGATGAGATAAATTTAGATGTCATGGTGGCCATTCAATTCTCATGAAGTTTAAAATAAAAATTGTGCTGGTGGTTTTCAGTTTGAATCTAAATTAGTCAGCAGTGTGCTGAAATTACCCTCTGCTATTGTATCAGGAAAAATCAGACATTCTGTGTCCATAGTTTGCAGTCCCCTGACCACCAATCCACAAGGACAAAGGGGCTAAAACATCAACAGGGCTTTAAAAGGCCTGTGACCATGGTCGAAAAATAATTCTGGGAATAAGCTTCAGTGAAGCAGACAAACTTTATTCCAGACTGAGGGGAGGTGTTAACGATGGGGATGGTGGCTGAGACATCACATAATTTGCATTAGAGAGCATGCCTCTATCATAAAGTTTCTAGTACAATTATTAGTTACCATCTGTGGAAGCACAGTCCTACCAAAATGCTCCTAGCACAATGTCTGATTACCATTTGGTTAGCAAGGGGGAAGGAAAGGTTCTGCATAGAAGTATGTCAAAGTTCATACTAAAGATAAGTCAGGCATCTGGACAAAGACACACTTCCAAATAAACTCAGGTAGAGACCAGGCTGCTTATCACCAGTGAGGGGGTGGGGTGGAAGGAGCCCTCAGTGTTGCCAACTTAGAAAGAGCTGCCAGGCCATGGTAGACTGCAAACTCTGCCCAGCATCTATCCAGATTCATTTTTATGAAACTTGAGTCCCAAAGTTTGATGTGTATGGATTTAGAAATGTTATGTATTTTGATGACTCATTTCCTTTATGGCTGTCTTTATCTGATTCAGCACTGTTCAGATTTTAAAATATTAGATGTCAACAGAACTATGCAAGCTTGGCTTTAGGCCCCCATTTGCTTGGCAGATTTACTTCTAATATTTGACTCTCAGAACACTTGTATCCTTAACAGGTATGTTTCTTAGAGAACACAGTTGGATATAGTATTTTTAACCTAGTCCAACAATATGCATATCATTCTTGT